AGTCTCCCAAGTAGACAATTTAACCCTTCATTAGAATAGTGGCTGCTATGGGGAATAATTGAGTAAAATTAACAACAATAAAAATGTTTTTTTTTGGGAAAATGCCCTTTTAAGATTTTTTTTTTATTTTAGAAAATGACAACGACTCCCAAGCTATTACTCTGTTTTGTTTGAACTCACAAATCGAAAATTCCTATCACTTCCGTTGTTGCTCTTTTATTCGACAACAAATCACAATATATGCAACTAACAGTAAAAACTCGGTGCGTTACAATTCTATTATTTAAATTTGTGAATTTTTAAAATATATATTTTATGAATATGTTAGCTAATTATTTTTAGTTATAAACACTAAAAACAAGAACGTGGTCACTCGTTTATTAGGAAATATGAATATAGTTTGGAGTGGTTTTTGTTTTTATTCTTTGAAAATTATAAGTAATTAAATTTGCAGTATAATTGTAAATTAGATTTATGAATATTTTTATTTAAAATATAAATAAAACTATCTTGGTTTTTTAGTCATTTTTACACCCATAATCAATAAAATATATCCAAACCCATGTCAATAAAGCAATCCCTAAAATCTCATTCTCATTTTCACTCAAAATTTTTCAACTTAATTTTTGTTTTATTTTATTTATATTATTATTATTATTTTGCATGAAATACTGAAGAAACAAAGCGCATTGTGATACTGTCGGGAAAAACAGTTATTGGTCCATCAATTAAGCAGGAAATTTTTCAACATATGTATACATATAGGGCGGGCGCGCGAGAATAAGTTTGTACGGTCTTTCGTTTTTTGTTTATTAAATTCTACGTAACTCTGTCAAAAAAAAGACCCCACATTAAATTTGCAGATTTTTAATATTTAAGTATTAAATTTCAAAATTCAATGTGAAACACTTTTCTTGATAGAAAAAGTATGATTTTGGAAAGGCCATGAAGAAAACAATGAAGACTATATGCTTAAAAGTGACTGGAGAATTTAACAATACTCGTAAACCTACAAAGAGTGGATCTAGAGATACTGCTAAGGTGTAGGCAATTTATTGGGTGCACCCGGGTGCACTATACTCCCCCTCCTATTTTTTGCACTACTAGTCCTTATTGTACTTTTTTTTACATTTTCTAATAATCTTCCTATTATTTGCAAGTTTAATCCCTGCCATTTTTTTTTTCTCCCTCTTCTAAAAAACCATCTCTAATATTCAAACGATCATACCTCTCAATCCGTGAAGAATTAGAAAACGTGTTACTCATGAATTTTATTGTACTCGTCGAGATCTATCCAACAAGATCCATGTCTAATATTTTTTTCGAGTTTAAAAATGACTAAATTTCGATGGGTAGAATAAGATGGATATCTAGTTTAGAAAGATGGATAAACAGTTTAGTTTAGATTAAAATTCTTGTATTGCATATATCTCTTGATCCGTAGAGAATTAGAATACGAATTATACATGAAATTTATAGTGCTCGACGAAATCTATCCGATAAGATCCATGTTGAATATTTCTTTTTAGCTTTAAATGCATTTATATTTTACGGGCAGAAATGAAGAAATATGTTTTTCATTTTTCTTTGAAAAATGGTTATCTGTTGTGTTCCTACTGATTATCCAACCGGTTTGGACTGATTATCTATTCTATTTGTACTTGTTATCCAATCATATTTTTGACATTCACTCTTCAAAAAAAAAAAAAAAGAAAGAAAAAATGATTGGATTAGCATTGGAAACAATTTGGATAATCAATAGAAAATAATTAGATAATCAGTGCAACACATTGGATAATCAGTACAAAAATGTTTGACAATGATTTTCATAAAAGAGCAAGGAAAAAAAATACTGGATAACCACCACGAAGAAGTTGGATAATCAGCATGAACACATTGGATATCTAGTTTAAGAAGATGGATAACCAACTTATTTTACATTCATATTGTTGTGTTCCTTATATCTTTTGATCCGTAAGGAACTATAACACGAATTATATATGAAATTTATAGTGTTCGACGAGATCTATCCGATAAGATCATTGTTGAATATTTCCTTGAACTTTAAATGCATTTAAATCTTACGGGCATAAATGAATAAACTGAAAAATGATTATCCGTTGTGTTCATACTGATTATCCAACCGGTTTGGACTAATTACCTATTTTTTGTTTTATCCAATCATATATTTTACATTTACTTTTCAAAAAAGAAAAAAAAAAAAGAAGATGGATAACCAACTTAGTTTAGATTGATATTCTTGTATTACATATATTTCTTGATCCGTTAAAGAATTAGAACATGAATTATATATGAATTTTATAGTGCTCGACGAGATCTATCCAACTGGTTTAGACCGATTATCCATTTTGTTTGTACTTGTTATCCAGTCATATTTTTTACATTCACTCATCTTCAAAAAAAAAGAAGAAAAGAATAAAAAATAAAATATTTGAATAAGCATTACAAACAATTTGGATAATCATTGAAAATAATTGGATAAGTAGTACAAGCTGGTTGGATAACCAGTACAAAAAAATCGGACAATCATTTTCATTAAAAGAGCAAGGAAAAAAAAAGTCGGATAACCATCAATCACCGAGAAGTCGGATGGATAATCAGTATGAACACATTGGACATATTTTTTCTCAAAAGAAGAAAAAAAAAAGAAGAGAAATTATGTTTGGATAATCAGTGAAAACGATTAGATAAGGCATACAAAACGGTTAGATAGTCAGTACAAAAAAACTGGACAAGGATTTTCGTAAATAGTAGAGAAAAAAAATGGTCGGATAATCTATACAGAACAGTTGGATAATCAATACAAACGCGTTTGACAATCATTTCTTTTTTTCAAAAAAATAATAATAAAAAAAAAATCAAATGGATGGATATCAAGTACAAACAAGTGGGATATCCATTACTCCCTCTGTCCCAAAATTATTGTCCAGTTTGAGATTTGACTTTTAGTACAATTTGAACTAAAAATGAAAACCAAACTGGACAATAATTATGGGACGGAGGGAGTACAAACAAGTTGGATAGGCATACAAACCAAATGGATGGATATCTACTACAAACAAGTTGCATAAATATCTAGTGCGTATAAACAAGTTAGATAGGCATACAAACCAAATGGATGGATATCCAGTACAAACAAGTTGGATAGGCATACAAACCAAATGGATGGATATCCAGTACAAACAAGTTGGATATCTAGTATAAGCGAGTTGGATATCTAGCACAAACAAGTTGGATATGCATACAAACCTGTTGGATTACAACTACAAAACAAGTTGGATAAGCATATAAACCAAATGGATGGATATCCAATACAAGCGAGTTGGATATCCAGTACAAACGAAATGGATATCCAGTACAAACAAGTGGGATATCCATTACAAACAAGTTTGACAGGCATACAAACCAAATGGGTGGATATCCAGTACAAACAAGTTGGATAACCAGTTCAAACTGGTTGGATAATCAGTATAAACACAAAGGATAACCAATTTAAAATGAATTGGGTTATCCATCTTTCTAAACTAGATATCCATCTTATTCTGCCCTTCGAAATTTAGTCATTTTTAAACTCAAAAAAAATATTCGACATGGATCTTGTTGGATAGATCTCGACGAATACAATAAAATTCATGTGTAACCCGTTTTCTAATTCTTCACGGACTGAGAGATATGGTCGTTTAAAGATTAGAGATATTTTTTAAAGGAGAGAAAAAAAAATCAAAGGGACTAAATATGTAAATTATAGGATGTTATTTAGAAAAGTGAAAAAAAGTATAGTAAGGACTATAGTATAAAAAAAAGGAAGGGGAGTATGATGGTCCCAGGTATACTGGATAGAGACTCAAGGTGTAAGCCCTTTGGTGAGCCCCTTTGGAATGTGCTCTATGAGGGCTTTCCTATTCAAAACTTCAAATTCAAAATTCATAAACTTTAAATTCTCACCTTCTCAAGACTCAAACGGAAATTTTTTTTAAAAAAAAAAGAATTAATAAGTACAATATTCTTCGTTTTTATTAAATTGTATATGGTGATTAAACCAATATATAAAATTAGGGTGCTTTTTTTGGCGTTTAGTAATGGCATTCTCAAGGTGGGTTAGGCAGTTGAGCAACCGTATTTTTTCAACTAAGAGTTGGGGAGTAATGTCATTATGACCCAATTTCTTATTCAAGGAACATATCATCATGACATAATCTATATGTTAGATTGCAGGTCATATCTTTGTAGCTATCAAAAGTTGGAAAATGACATGCACTTTTTATCCTAAGATAATTTTTATTTCAAAAAAAATTTCTTTGTAACATTATTTTATGGATTAAATATTATTTTAAAACAGAGAAATAGAATTTAAATGAAGATATAAAACACCATGACATAATACACGTATTAAAATTAATTCATAGCGACGTTGGCATAGAGAAGAAAAATGAAGTCTTCGCAAAAGCTAGCTAAACGCATATTAATTTTTCTTGGAACACTCTAGTGCATTGCATCTTACCAAGTAGAGAGTGAGATCATCATATGATATAAACCATTAAACTAGTGTTTTATCGTATGAGTTGCTAATTATTCTTCGTAGGGAACTAGATCAAAATTTTACTCAATTCTTTATCAAAGTCCATGAAAATATGTTTCATCAAAACTGCAACTTGTAGGTGGTAAGTAGATTTAACGTAAGAACACGGATAACCTGTTCCAATCTCCTCATTAATTTACTATGGGAATCATATAATAGAATTAATTCTCTCAAATTATAACATCGGATCATAATACCCGAATCTACTGACAAACAAAAGATTACGGGACAATAATTTCTAAATTAATAAAACAGAAGATCCTAAATAAGTTGAATCGTAATTTTTAGTGTAAATATCTAAATAGATTCATTCTAGTTTTTAGTTGATATAAGATAACTTATTGCTAACTTTGTTTTGCTCATAATGTTAAGAAACGTAAGGGAAACGATATGAAGTGATCTTTCAAACTTTTGTCAATCATTTCTAGTAATTTTAACGAAAGTTCGGCCAAAAATTAATCCAATACTCCAAATACATGAGTGGAGAGATGACCTCAATCGAAATTGCTTCTTCCACTTACTTATGTGTGTGGTACAAACCCAATTTATTGTAATATCATTGAGCTTATAAATGATTAGGAGTGCCAAAGTAAGAAAATCACTTTCGGCCACACAAACAATTAATGGATACAAATTGATCATAATTGCAAATTGGAGATAAACAAATCAAAATTAAACTAATTACAACTGGTTGCATTGAGTTGGAAGGAATGACAAAGTCTCCTTCTTCAGATCATGAAGCAGAAGGTAATTCTGCTGTTGAACATTTCCAAATATGGACATCCCACTTGAACTCCCCATCGCCAAGCAAGCCAAACCCACACCCGAATCCGCAATGATGTAATTCTCCGCCGGTAAATCCACGTCAGCGCCATCAAAATGGAAGATCAATTTCGGGACGTCGATATTCGTAGCTCCCGACGGCAACTTAAAGCATAAGTCCAGCCCCGCCGTGCCGGAATTATCCACCGGAAGATTCATTTCCGACGTAAACGCTTTCTTCACCTCATCAAACGCGCTTTCTTCCAAATACGTAATCGTCGTCCCGGAATCAATAATCATACCTCCACTTCCGTCGCTTTTGAGTGCAAAGGCTGATTTCTTGATGGGTAATTTAGTGTCACCAACCGTAATTCCTTGGAGTGAAAGGTAATAAAACGACGGCTGCGATGGATTCACAACTAAAGGCGTCGTTTGAACCGCGGAGTTTCCGGTTTTGTTCAAACCAGCCAATGAACCCATAAGAAGAGTGCTGGTCTTGGTATCGTCGATGGAGGTCAAACAGTAAGAGAATTTGGGCTCATCAAGCTGAGAAACAAGTGATAAAGGACCACGGCCTAATCCAACTAGCCCCGCGCCTTGGCTAAAACCGCTACCTTGGTTGTCTTCCCCGCAGCCGAATCCGATATTCGGGACGGAAACATCACCGAATGAGAACGTTTCTTTGCCCATGATTCCCTGTGTGGAGGAATAATCTCCATAACTGTAGAGATATTCACATCCGTCGCTCCCACAGGAAGACATTGGAAGCGCTCTACATAAGTCGCTGGAGCACGAGATCGACGAATAAGTCGACGATTTCTTGGGATCAAATATGGGAGTAGTTTGGTCGAAACACTGAGTACACGGCTTGCATTGCGTCCAGATTAAGTCGCTCCCGGTGTCCAATATAGCGGAATAAGTCGTCGTCGGGGTTCCGATGCCTATTTCCATCAGGAACTCGCCGTTTCCAGCGTGAATCGGAGACTTGAGATCACCATCAGGACTGCCTGATGTATCGGTGGCGGCTAAAACCATTTGGTTCAGCCTGGCCACCCTTTTCTTTCCTCGATTCATCGCACGTTTTAAGAGCTCGAATTTCGTGAAATTGCTGGACGCGACAGCTTCAGCATCAACGTGTTTTAACGTGACTCGGAATCCTGCTGTTTGTGCATCTTTTTTCCCGAGTAATCCTGCTGAATTTCTTGATGTTCCGACCGTTGGCGAAACAAACAACACTATGGTTAGTGATGCAAGAAGGATTAGCATTGATGAAGAAGCCATTTTTTTGGGAATGTATGAAGAGGTTTTGTATATGATGATTTAAGGAATGGAACAGTGTGCAAATGTATTAATAGAGTTAATGAAATAGTTGATGTAAAAATAATGCTATTTATAAACAAATTGAAGGGTGTTTCTTTGAAGAAAATAGAAAGGGGAAGTGGTCATAAAATCTGATCTGAGTCTCTGACCAACTGTTTGCATAAAAATGAGGAATAAGGTGGAAAGAAGTAAGCAAAAACAGGGAGACAAAAATATCGAATCTTGGCTATATAGAGAGTCTAATAGTGAGGCATTTACGCAGTTTTCTTCTCAAAGAAGAACTTGGTCTTATGGTTATGAATTTTGGGGAAAGGAATGAAGGAATTGATATATCTTGTTCCACAATTTTGTGAGAGTTTTCATCATTAGTAATCCATCCATTTCCTACACTTTATAATTGTTTGCACACACTTTTCTCCACCAACTTAGGTGACACATCCCAACCATTTGATTGACTCAAGCAAGAACAATATCAAATGTTAATTCACCTACCACACCTTTACAGTGTGAAAAAAAAAAAAAAAAAGATCATACCATTCTCAAGTAACGCGCCAAAGTCTCTTTTTTTTTTATTTATTAAATTACAATTATTCTCTCGAACTCTGGTGAAATCACTAAACACGTATAACCTGAAAATCGTCACTAATAATTGACAATTTTTGTATTATATATGGTTCGTGATATGCCAATGACTATGAATGGGTGATCTCCATTTAGTTGCGGTAGAAATTTATTTTTCTTGGTGGATTTATTTGTCATTCTTTTTTTTTTCTTATTATCATTTGTCTGTATGACTTTATTATCCAAAAATGTGGCAAAATTTTTTTGGGTTCTATCGTTTAAAATTTTATGTTTGCATAATAAATCCAAAAAAGAGAAATTGTAGATTATCTTATTTTCATAATAAATCGTGTAATTTTGTTTAGTTTCCAGCGGAAAAGAAAGGCATACATCAATTACATGTTATAATTAAATTGACATAAAAATTAAAGTTGCCACAATGCCCCTTTATCATCATCGAATATGTAAAGCTGTAATTATATAACGCCATTGAGAATGTTTCCCAGTCCTACTCATTTCCTGACCATAAATGAGTATACTTTTTTTAAAGGGTAAATGAGTATACTTATGTGTATACAATTTGATGGAAGTGGATTTCTTGCATAACTAAATGTAATAATCGCTCAATATTACTAGTATTTTTTTTCCTGTTTGTTTTGGGGCACTTGGCTTCATACTTTTGATTTTTTTTTGTTAAAAAAAATTGTTCGAATAATTTTACGAAATCAAAAAGTTAAGCAGCAATATCAATCTACTCACTCCATCCCACTGTTTTTCCCATTTATATTATGTTAGCACAACATACTAAACAATCATTTTGAAAAAAAAAAGTATCAATTTTGAAATGCATAAGTGATTTGGATCGGATATTAAAATACTAAAAACGAACTTTTAGATGCAATTTTTTTAAAAAAAATTAATTTCATTGAAAAGATAGAACCAAAACCAAAACCGAAACTACAATATAACTACAGTAAAAATGGGGATTTCTATACTCAGTGGCTTTTGAAGCACTGCTACTATCCGTCCAAATTCTTTTTTTATTATTATTATTATTCCTTCTTCTAACTAAACCTTCCCATCTCTAAACTCAATTTGTTTTGCAAAAAGAGAATAATTTGACTCTATAAAATAATAATAATAATAATAATAATAATAGTAATAATAACAATTTTTCTATTTCAGAAAAATAATCCATTTTGTTGTATTATTTGAAATGTAACAAAGTGAACTGTCTTTATAACACTGAAAAACTACTTATTTGAATATTTTTATTTTGCATTTACAATTGTATGACATACTGACACTGTATAGATATTACTTATGGAATAATAATCCCTGTAGGAAAATATTACAGAAAATTTTAACTAAAATGAATTATAACTGTCTATATTCATATCTTTCCTTCAGGGTTTCATGCTTTCAAAAATTAGGGGATACTTAATATTCGTCCATCTCATTTCTTATAAATTTTCTTGTCAAATTTTTCCTACATATCATCACTCTTAGTTATTACGTCAACAAACCTCAGGTCATGCTTAACAAATTGGTGGAGCATGTACGTCATTTTCACAGTTTTATATTGTGAAGTTTATATGTTGTACAAGTTAATCTATTTCTCTCTCTAAACCAAATATATAAATTACTTTTGTTTGTCTCATAAATATAATTTACATTAATTTTGAGATTTATATTATTTTTAATACATATTTGAAAACTCAATATTTTTTTTTTTTTTTGAGACAGAGAATATAAACTACACAATAGATAACACCTAAGGCCAATTATAAAGTTGCATTTGCTAATCTATTAGCATTAATTGCCTATCATTCCCCTACTTACTTTGATGAAACTACAAGTGGGAATTACACTTAGCAGCCGCAAGACATATATTTTTAAATTGATGAACGAACCCTTGCGCTTTATTCAGGTTTCTCATAGAGCAAATCCAAGAAAATGAATAGACAATATAATGAATATTTATGTTCCCAGAAAGATGGATGGATGATGGATTTAAGAAAGTTACTTCCAGGGAAAGTGGCCTTGCGCAATTGGCAAAACCCAAATATTCTAATGATGAAGAAGGTTAGATTCTATAAACGACGTTTTTCTTTGTCTTGTTACAGAATACAAGAGAGTTTATATTAACAGAGCAGAAAAAAGCATACAAGAGTTATGTAATAGGTTAAGTGGTCGTACTATGTCAATAAAAAAAATTTTGATGTTAATTTGACAAAGGATCGTAAAATTTGCTCCCTCTATTAGAAAATGAGTATTTTACAATAAATTAGACAATTATTTTGAACAGATAAAGACATGTATTTATGTAACACCTAATAAAGCCTTACATATATATACCATCTATACAACAAATTTCCTAGTATTACGTACTTGCTGTTTTACTTCTTCTACTTCTTCTCCTTCTTCTTTTTTCAATAAATAAATAATAATAATAATAATAATAATAATAATAATAATAGTAATAATAATAATAATAATAATCTATATTTATAATTACATGATGAAAATAGTTTACTTGGCATGAAATTGGAAGGTCACTTAAGTTGGAAGTAAAAAAAAAAAAAGAATTTAACCGTGATTACAGTGTATCTTAACCATTGAAGATAACTTTATTTAACTTTGTGCAACAACCTTTTAAAATAAATGATCTGATAATGAAAGTTCAAATAGAGCCCAAATTATCCTAAATGATTCATATCCTAAATTTTATACTGGATTTGTTAAATATTGTTTTATTTAAACTGCATGACAGTAAACAGTTCAAAATAATCAAGTATATCTCTCTGTTTCATTCCTTTAAAGCTTTTGTTCATTTCTTAGGATTTTTTTTATTCAACAGGTTGCTTTCATACAGATTTTTTTTTATTCAATACTGGTTTATGTTCAATGCAAGCACTCTTAATGGATGTGGAGTACCTGTGCATAGAGCCAGAAAATATTATCAGTGATTACAGTGAGATTCATTATGAAAAAAATCAAGTGTCCAGGGGATCAAGGGCCCATTTCTTCATCTCGGATTTCGTACTAAAATTGAAAGAAAGACAGAGTTTTGAAAGAAGTAATCTGGGTTCTGGAAATTAAAGAACAAAATTGGAGGTAATTTTTTCCTAACGTGTATTAAATGTTAAAACGATATCTAATATTAAAAATCGCTAAAATATCATTTTTTTAAAATTGAAATAACTTGTATAACAAGTTAATTAGTTTTGTTTCGTTAACATTTTATAGACTTTTTAAAACGGAAAATCATATTACTAAAGAGTTCAGCTTTATTTTTAAGTGATATGTTACTTATATTTTACAAATAAAAAATATCATGTACCATCAAGAGGATAGTAAAAAATTTACAATATTTTACATTAATATTTATTTTGTAGTTTCAAAAATATATTGTTTACATAGTGTTAAAAACTTATATTTACGAATACATATGTATTTAGTTATGAATAGGACAATGAAGAATAAAATTCAAAAATTGACAAGTTAAAAAATTAAAATTTTAATCTCATAACTTGTCACGGGCCAAAATGTAAGCAAAAAATGGCTTAACCTAGTTTATTGTCACGTTATGATCGGAAACAGAGTTTCAGAATTCAGATTTCAGAGGAAAGGAGAAGAATTGAGGAGCAAAGAAGAAGGTGAATTCAGAAAAAAAAAAAAAAAAAAGAGAGGCGGCTAGGGTTTTAAGAAAAGAGTGAGATGAGATATTTCATTAATGTTCTCAATGCCTTCATCAGGAGCATTCGTACAGCATATAAAGGATTCCATCTCACCTCATCTGCTGTAATTAGATAATTAAAAAATAAAACAAGAAGAAAGAACAAAAATGCAGCAGCAACGGTAATTCCGGCTAAACTCTTTTGTCCTCATGTTTGAAGGAAGTTTGGCAGCAATTTCCTTTAACTTCGTCCCCAATTTTCCGGATACGACGTCGCATGCTCGCCCTAATTGAACCTCCAATTGACCCATCGACCGAACCCGACTAGCAAGAGACCCGGCTCGTGACATTCCCCACTGCTTAAGAAGAAGCTTGTCCTCAAGCTTTAAAATTAGGAAACTGCTTAGCAATGAAATCTTTGTCTTCCCAGGAGGCATCTTCCAACTCCAAATCCTTCCATTTAATGAGCCACTGTATCACCAGCTATTGATCTCGCTTGATGCTTCTTCGTTGTAACACTGCTACCGGTTTTAAGGTGTTTTCATCTTGGAGCTCAAAACTTGGAGGAGCTGTGGAGCTCACCGGTCGGTTGCTAACATGTTTCTTAAGGAGGGAGACATGAAAAATAGGGTGGATTCGGGAATGATCAGGCATTTTGAGGCGATACGCGACATTACCAATCTTCTCCAAGATTTCATAAGGTCCAAAGAACCTATGCATCAATTTGAGGGTGTTCCTGATTTCTGCTGTCTGTTGCCAGTATGGTTGCAGTTTCAAATATACCCAGTCGCCTACATTCAGAATTCGTTCAGTCCGGTTTCTGTCGGCATAAAACTTCATGCGAGCTTGAGGTTTACTGAGTTTTTCCTGGAGAATTCGAGAAACCAACTGCCTTTGCACTTACATGCCCTCAGCTACTAGCACAATCACATTCTCATAAGGACCCAAAGGAACGTGTACCAGCTTAAATCCGTACAGTGCTTCGTAGGGAGTCATGTTTATACTGCTGTGATGTGTGGTATTATACCACCATTCAGCTAAGGGTAGCCAGAAACACCAAGTGGAAGGTTTGTTACTTGCAAAACATCGAAGATATGTTTCCAGACATTGGTTTACTCGCTCTGTCTGCCCGTCGGTTTGAGGGTGATACGAGGTGCTCATACATAATTGAACCTTCAGTAACTTCAATAACTCTTGCCAAAACA